CATATAAAGATGTTGGTGACATTCACATCATCCATAGAAATATGTTGGTGATGTTCACATCATCCATATAAAGATGTTGGTGATGTTCACGTCATCCATATAAAGATGGTGATGTTAACATCATCCATATAAAGATGTTGGTGATGTTAACATCATCCATATAAAGATGTTGGTGACGTTCACGTCATCCATATAAAGATGGTGATGTTAACATCATCCGTATAAAGATGTTGGTAATGTTAACATCATCCATATAAAAATGTTGGTGACGTTCACATCATCCATATAAAGATGTTGGTGACGTTCACGTCATCCGTATAAAGATGTTGGTGACGTTCACATCATCCGTATAAAGATGTTGGTGACGTTCACATCATCCATATAAAGATGTTGGTGACGTTCACTTCATCCGTATAAAGATGTTGGTGACGTTCACTTCATCCATATAAAGATGTTGGTGATGTTCACTTCATCCATATAAAGATGTTGGTGATGTTAACATCATCCATATAAAGATGTTGGTGATGTTAACATCATCCATATAAAGATGTTGGTGACGTTCACATCATCCATATAAAGATGTTGGTGATGTTAACATCATCCATATAAAGATGTTGTTGACATTCACATCATCCATATAAAGATGTTGGTGACGTTCACATCATCCATATAAAGATGTTGGTGATGTTAACATCATCAATATAAAGATGTTGGTGATGTACATGTCATCCATATAAAGATGCACTGATGGATTTCCCTTAGATCCTGTTACATCAGTATATGATCTTTAGCCTTGAACTGTTTTAAGCACTATAGTTTTCAAGATAACCTTAACAGTTTCATGTCTGTTTAAATTTTCTTACGTATTCTTTAGACATTTATTATGTTGTGTGACTATTTAAGTGTTTATGGCTACAGTTTTAAGTTAATTTAAATTTGGTCCAGTGATACTTGTACACTTGAGTATGGAAATACATTATGCTAATATAATAATAAGTTAATAGTCAGTGATTTATAAGCATAATGAAATGATTTATTTTTGGGAGAACATATTACATGTTTACACAGAACATTGGTCCGTTGTTCTCTAATTAATCATTATAATGGTATAATTGTTGGCACAATCCTATTCATTATGTATGTTTCCATAAATTAGAAGAAAAAAAAAATATTTAGTAAATCACAGGAAGTGGATTCGAGGTGAAATTTAAATTTGTGTGTTATAAGATTTTGTCAGCTACATAGATGTTTTTGGTATAATTTCAAGTTACAAGAATGTCTAATTGTCCATATAATTAGAAAATAATCTCTTACTATTTTAGTTAAAGAACAAAAACCTTCAAGGCTCAGCTATTACAGGGTCTAGAAGTGGAATACAATCTACATTACCTGCAAATGTAATGTTGCAACAGTCGCTGATGCGACCAGGCATAGGGCCCCTCTCACGGACTCCAGTAACCACACCTCCCAATGTTGTAATGGGTTATAAATCAAGTGGGCAGCAGTCTTTGGTAAGTCGTTTCAATGTATTAATGTTTGGTCTTTACTGTAACTGTAAATGAATTTATGATGCTTATTTATGTGTGAAATTGCTTTTTTTTTGAATTTTCACCACAGAGGGCGTGATGGAAACTAGTATTGTTAAAAACCAGAATGTGAGTGTTTCAGTAAAAACAAATCAACTACCTCATATTTTTCCTTTCGTTTCCCAAAATCTTGACCAAATTTGAAATAGATTCTATGACCGTCCATGTTTAAAGGCCTATATATCTTACAGTTGTAGCGTTTAATATTAACAAAATGCTGTAAATTTAATTATTAAGTAACAAGAATGTACTTGAGATTGTATAAAAATATAGTATTGAGGGTACATGTTTGATCTTTACATTTTAAAAAAAGGATTTCCTGACGTATAACCACTTAGATCACATCAGCTGGTTAATGTTAAATATTTCATCCCTCACAAAAAACATGTTCCTAGAATGGCATATTTTAAATTGTTTTCATTAGTTTCTCTTAATTTCACTCCTCTTTACTTCCAGGCTCAACCTTCCACGAGTCTCTCTCCACAGTCTGTACAAGGAAGTGAAAGGGTAGATAACCAAACTCCTGCCCAGCGACAAGCTGTAGCTAAACTGGCTCTTCGTAAACAGTTAGAGAAAACTTTGCTCCAAATTCCCCCTCCCAAGCCTCCCCCTCCAGAATTACACTTTATTCCTAATGCTAACAATCAGGAATTTGTGTGCCTTTTAGGCCTAGAAAAGATTGTTGATTTCATGATGCATGATGGCACCACGACCCGGTCTCCTCCTGAACCATTCTCCTGTGTTCAGTGTGGGACAGACTTTACTCCTGTCTGGAAGTGGCAGGACACACTTACAGAATCTGGAAAGAAGAAACCTGCCGTCATTTGTGAAATGTGTGTTACCACAAATATAAAAAAGGCTTTGAAAGCAGAACATACTAATCGTTTGAAAACTGCTTTCGTCAAAGCTCTCCAACAGGAACAAGAAATAGAACAGAGCATGTCTCAAGTAATTTCGAGCCCTCCACCTTCTACCTCACCCCTAATGCACACTCAGAGTTCTATTCCGACTACAGTGTTTTCCAACAATCGTGGTACACCTCCGCCATCGTCGCACAGTCCCATTCAGAGAATGGGTTCCTCCAACTCCAATGCTGTAGTTGCTGCTGCAGCTGCGAATTCAGCTGCACTTCTCCAACAAATGCCCAAGTTAACTCCAACTCAACAGTCCATTCTGCAGGCCCAAGCACATCAACTACATCAGCTTGCTCAGAGTCTGCCTCACCAGCCGCAGCCTGCTCATATGCTTCCTTTTAGTCCATTACTAGCCCAAACTTACCCTTATTCGATGCTAGGAAAACCTCCGGTAACCACTTCCGACTTACAGCGACAGTATCTTCTAGACATGATCCCTTCACACACACTTCCACAGCACTCGATGAACTGGAAATCTTAATGAAAATTTGGTTGGTTTATCATACCAAAAAATGAATCTCCTGTTTCTACTTGTAATTATTTACTGAGCATTGAAACTAAAGATATGTGTAGTATTTTTTGTGGATAATTTTGTATCAAGTTTTTTTATCATTACAATTCATATTTCATGGCAGCTAGTACTTTTTATCATCACTTATTGGTATTTTCACATTAGTATATCTTAAAGTTCTGAAAAATCTTCAATGAGGTTACATTTCCTGAAAATTAATTAAAATGAAATTGTTTCTTCTTTAAACCTCTCTTACTAGAACTGTAAGTATGTTTGTTTGTCTGTATAACTATTTAGTTACGTGGTGTTAGTTTGATAGAGCTGGTTAATTTTTTTTACTTAGGTTTCTTAAAGAGTAATGCTTAGATTTAATTTGTTAACCAGAATCAAAAATTATGATCGTGGTTTGTTAATTTCTTACAAATATGTAAGAAATTTCAAAACTGAACACCAATCTCACCATCAAAAGTAGGTTTTATTGACAGATAGTGAGTGTGACCAATTTTTGCAGGTTCTAATAGTCTGTCTTAGAAAATTTATAAACCAGGGTTTATAAAAAAGTCTTTTTAAAAGAAAGTTCTCCAGTTATTTTTATGAAAACCTGGTGGCAGACATTATATTTGTGCAATCCTTCTTGTAACTCAAAAAATATCAAACTGTTATTTTTACAAGTCAAAAACAAAAAAAAACAAACAAAGAAAATACAGAATAATGTAAATTGGTATCTAGACAAGTTTCTGATCCCAATATTTCATAGACCCCTTTGTACAGTATTAACATTTTAAAATACTTTTAAATTAAATTACATTATAAAACAACATACTTTAGTAACTGAATTTTAAAACTGGTTGAAATCTCTCTCTGTGGACCTGTAACGGTTGACGGACCAGTGGTTGGGAACCACCGATTTAGACAATGTTTTGATCTTGTTGTTGACAAAGATATACTGAAGTGATTGAAACAATATATAATCACCAGTTCACTATTTAAAAATCCTTCATTTGTAAACATGTTTTTAATAAGAATGTTATATATATTTTCTGGATTCCATAAAGTCTATATGATCACTTGTCAACTTGGACTTGTGGATTCTAATTCATGTATTAAAATGTAACTTTCAGACCTTCTTTTACTACTCGTGTAAGCACAGAGGTAATAAAACTTTTTTTTAAAGAAAAATTACAATTTGGTTTATAGTAAATTAACAGTGAAATTATATGTTTCTATCCCCTTGAGAATCAGTCTTCTCGAGTTTATATTGAATTGCTTTTTTTGTAAATTCAGAACTTAAGTAAACTAAATTCTTTACAACTTTCGGTGGTGTCCGTCCACCCGTTTCACGAGGATCACCACTGATTTTTATATTACTTGTCAAAAGAAAAAAACACTTGATACTTTATTGATAAATAACAGATTGCTCTTTGTAACTTCTTTGAAGTTTTTAAAAGTAAACTATTTTACCTTTACAATCAACAAACTTTGCAGTAAGACCCTACACATTTTGGGAAGTGCAGCTTATTTTAATTTTTTAATGGCACCTTGTGTATAGGGTAGATAAATTTCTTTTGTATTTCTTTGATTTGAATAAACTAGAAACTATTCATAATTTTTAAAAAAACAGATATACTTCAGTACTGTTATTTTTTAATAGAATAGTTACTACAAAAAAAAAGGGTTTACTTTGTGTTGATTACTGGCTTACTTTGTGTTGATTACTGGCTTACTTTGTGTTGATTACTGGGCTGCAGAAGGGTACCTGACAATATTTAAATTAGGGAAACTTTAGCATCGAACTAAGTTGAGACATACTTCTTACAAAACTATACACTCGTTAAAGTGAATGACGGTCACCACCAACTAGCTGAAAGTTACTATGTTGATATTCGTGAGTAAATGTACTTTATGTTAGAATTGATCAAAGTTTCGAGTATGTAAAGAAAACAAAAGTTGTACTGTTGCATTCATTTAGTTTTATAAATGTACCGTTAAGTTTTTTGTTATCAAACAATTTGGTAGTTCTCTGCAGTGAACAAAGTTCTTTTCTTTTTGTAGTATTTTAAAATAAAGAGCAACTTGTGAGTTCATAAAGCAGTTGCTCTTGTTTGAAATATCTGGGAAAATAGTATTTTATAATAAGTAAATAAAAACAAACCAAAAATAGAAGTATATTCCTGGTATTATTCATGTCTATTTAACAAACAGAGTTTATTAGGTAAACATGTTTACAATGTCCATTTAACAAACGGAGTTTATTAGGTAAACATTTACAATGTCCATTTCACAAACAGGGATTTATTAGGTAAACATGTTTACAATGTCCATTTAACAAATGGAGTTTATTAGGTAAACATGTTTACAATGTCCATTTTACAAACAGGGGTTTATTAGGTAAACATGTTTACAATGTCCATTTCACAAACGGAGTTTATTAGGTAAACATGTTTACAATGTCCATTTTACAAACAGAGTTTATTAGGTAAACATGTTTACAATGTCCATTTCACAAACAGAGTTTATTAGGTAAACATGTTTAAAATGTCCATTTCACAAACAGAGTTTATTAGGTAAACATGTTTACAATGTCCATTTCACAAACAGAGTTTATTAGATGAACATTTTTACACACACACACTAATGATAGTAATTGTGAACTGAAGATGCTACAGAGTGAAAATTTGATCAATGTTATTATAACAAAAGCAAAGTGTGTGTATATAAATCACATAATAAACAATCAATATTTGTGGATCAAGAAGTAGAAACTGTGAAATGAACTTTAAATCATACACACTGAGTCCTTGAAAGGATGAGATCATTTATTCTACAAGGAAGAATGTACAGATAGTATTTTATGTTAAGAAGTTAGCATGTGTTAAAATAAATGTACTTTATTAAAAGTTCCAGGGCAGTGAGAAGTTCGCGATGTTACAAAGAAGGTGGACTGTTTGTTTTTGCACCAAATCAAATCAATGTAATTTGTTCACAAACAGCTAAAGTAATGAGATGACGAATATTGTTTTATTGAAATTACTACTGTAATTTTGTAGCAAATATATAGAAAAACACTTGGAAGTGTAGAGTATCAACTTAAGGTTGCGTTATGTATTAAAAACTATACTTTTACCAGTTAAATACTGCTAATTCAATGTATGATAAATATTTTCTGTTCAACCTTACTGAGCTAGTCACTGAACAGACTTAAAGTAATCTTTTCATCATCCCATCATAATATAAAAAATTAGTATACAACATTTACATAGGTTAATTTTCTACAGCCTAACAAGGACCTGATAATGACTGGTACTGTTAGTTCTAAGTTATTGAAGCCATTGTAGATAGATGAATCTTATCACATTATCCCAAACAAATCATTATTATTGAATATATCATATTAAAACGATTTTGGACATTCACCATGTCCAGTCATGTTCTATCTGATGACTATGCATCTTGACAACAGCCCTGCAGAAGTTTCCATTGCAAAAAGACTGTAGAATAGCTGATATATCCAAAACACACCCCTCCTCCCTTCTGTAATCATTCCTGTTGCATACTGTTACCTAGAGCATGTGAACAACTTTTACCTCTGACCTTTGTGTTCGTGGGTTCTCACAGGTGCTGCACTTGCTTACAATCTTGTTACAGTTCTCTTTGTGAATGGTTCTGGTATCTCAAGGTCATTCATTCTCTTACCATCTTGTTACAGTTCTCTGTGAATGGTTCTGGTGTCTCAAGGTCATTCATTCTCTTACCATCCTGTTACAGTTCTCTTTGTGAATGGTTCTGGTGTCTGAAGGTCATTCATTCTCTTACCATCTTGTTACAGTTCTCTTTGTGAATAGTTCTGGTGTCTGAAGGTCATTCATTCTCTTACAGTTCTCTTTGTGAATGGTTCTGGTGTCTCAAGGTCATTCATTCTCTTACCATCCTTTTTGTGAATAGTTCTGGTGTCTGAAGGTCATTCATTCTCTTACAGTTCTCTTTGTGAATGGTTCTGGTGTCTCGAAGGTCATTCATTCTCTTACCATCTTGTTACAGTTCTCTTTGTGAATGGTTCTGGTGTCTCGAGGTCATTCATTCTCTTACCATCTTGTTACAGTTCTCTTTGTGAATAGTTCTGGTGTCTGAAGGTCATTCATTCTCTTACCATCTTGTTACAGTTCTCTTTGTGAATGGTTCTGGTGTCTCAAGGTCATTCATTCTCTTACCATCTTGTTACAGTTCTCTTTGTGAATAGTTCTGGTGTCTGAAGGT